ATTTAGTCTGTCCGGTTTGAATAGTGCCTTTGAGGAAACAAACAAAAATGAAGCAGAGCGAGAACAGGCGGACCCAGATGACACGTGACAATCCCGCAGCTGACAATTGTTTAATATTGTATGATTGAATCTCGCGCACACACACAAAACTAAATATTGCGGAAAACCGAACGGCGCGAATATACCGACCAAAATCATCGAAAACGTCCAAAGTATAAATTGTTCCAAGCGAAGAAAAAATGACAAACACAAAAAACTATCTATTCACTTGAAACACATAAAATATAATTATTCAGAAATCGTGAGATGCGGTCTGGTGTGATGTATGTTTCAGAAAAAAAATTTCTTTATCGTGGCAACGTTTCGATCTTTATTGAGATCATCTTCAGGGCCTGGGATTTACAAACATCGTTTACATTAAATTCACTAATTTCGTGGTCTGCTTGACCAATTAATATATTACAATTATTTATCTCAACTAAAAACCTTAATTAATTGTAATTGTTTACATTTAACAAATATATTTAGGATGTGGAAAAGTGAATTTATACAATGCAAAATATTTTTTTTTGTCAAAATCTCACTGGCACTCTCAACATGACACGCAGAAGAAAAACAATTTCAGTGAGTAGAAATACTTTGATTGAATATAAAAAAATATATTTTGCATTGTATAAATTCACTTTTCCACATCCTAAATGTATTTGTTAAATGTAAACAATGTTTGTAAATCCCAAGCCCTGAAGATGATCTCAATAAAGATCGAAACGTTGGCACGATAAAGAAAATGTTTTTCTGAAACCTACATCACACCAGACCGCATCTCACGATGTCTGAATAATTATCGATTAACGGTCACTAATCCCCACACATAAAATATAATTTAATCATACATTTCGACCGATCTGACTAGTGTCTGTAAAGAATCAACTAACGCTGGACTTGGTCGGGGAGGAAGGTGCGAGAACACGCGGACAGATAACAGAAACCACCCAACTGTAGACAATTGTTCAGATAAAATATAAATTGTTGGGGACCTTTATTTACATTTTTCATACTATATAATAAACTAAGTGCTACTCAGACTTTAAAAACCCTACCTTAAATTACAAGTTACAATTTTTTTTTATCAAGAAGTTTTATTTTTCTACCCACCCCCCTAAGAAAACATATCTTGAATTATCATTTTCAATTAATAAAAAGGTCGAAATATTCTTTCCCATTATAAGTGTCTGAAAAAATGCTAAAAAAGTGAAATTTATCATATCAAAGCGTATCTAGGCGAACCGTGATTCAAAGAGATTAATGGCGAAAATTGATCAATAATGGCTTACTAAAAAACCAGCTCAACTATTCAGTTTTTTTCTTTTTGAAACTAAATTTTATTGATATTTAAAAATAAATAGCTTAGGTTATATTTAAATATTGACATAAAAAAAAGTTGGTTTTGAATATTTTTAAATCCTGTTTACCGTAAGGCCGTTTTGTTGTTGAGACTATGGAAGTTTATGAAATTTTAATGTGCGAAAGAGAAAAGTAAAACAGTTAAGTTAAACAGATTAGCATAATATATGCCAGAGGGTTAAAAAGTAGCAACATGTATTAAAAAATGATAAAATAAATGCAAGAAGGGTTTCTCACAACCATAAAACCCTTGGTCTGTTAGACATAAATAAATATTAAACATTTTTTGTCTTCGTTTATTTTTATGTATAATCGCAGTTTGTCGGATTATCTTCAGTTAGTTTAATTCGCTCAATGTTCCTTTTGTTACATATTTAATCATTTCCAGGGCAACTTATTAGTAAAAAAAATTTTTCTGGTAGTTTGGCCTTCATGCTTCATTTCCATTAGTTTACTTTTTATAATAATATTTTATAAGGATAATTTTAAATAAAAAGATAAACCTCTCAGGGAATCAATTACTTTGGAAGACTAAATATTTATTTATTTTTATTTTTTATTATAATAATTTTTTTGTAAAAAAGAGATAATGCAATTGGCAATTCTTCAATTTACATTATAATTTTCATCTATAGAATGCATATGATGCCAAATATTTCTGTACTGGTGATTTAAAACTAAATTTATAGTATTAATTTTTAATAAATTGATTATTTTTATGTAGTGTAGTTGATATAAAAAATTAGTGTCTCGAGTTCTACCACTTGAGCTATCATGACTTCGGAGACCCATTATCACAACAAACGACTTTTCAAACTTCCACTTTGTATAAAGTAATTAATCAATTACATACAAATAAAAATTCCTAGGTTAAGAGTAACAAAAACCTGTTTCTTGGGTATCTTTTCAGTAACTAGACAACCATCAAACTCAATTTCCATATATAAAAAGAAAATAAGTTTGATGGTTGTCTAGTTCGTGAAAAGAAACCCAAGAAAAATTTAAAACGACAACAACCGAAGGGTAAAAATGTAAAATCATGTTTATTTATGGCTGAAAACCTATATTATATAATATAGGCATCTCCATCCAGTGCTCATTGATTACGAACTTATATTGTAACGTAATTTTTTTACTTCATTTATTTTTTTCTACAACTTTATATGTGTTATATACAACCAGCAGTGTTGACCGATATGCACTTACATTTAAACTTCACGGACTAGCCTCTCTTCAAAAATTATAAACTCAATAAAAAACCTACTTGCAAATACTGAGACAACGTTTGATTCATAAGCGGAATTCCACGTAACACAGGAATTCCAAACCGAAATGGGAGTAAGGCAGGGCTGCCTCCTCAGTCCCACGTTATTCTCTCTATACCTAAATAATCTAGAGAGCCAGAGATGGTGGAATATGTTGTGTTTCCCATGTTTCTGTATACAAGTAAATTGCATTTTGAGTATACAATTAAAATTCTAAATCTTCCAGATGATAGGTTACCAAAAATCTTAGCTACTCAGGTAATTAAAAAAGAAATATACTCGTTCAGGCAAATACAAATCCTGTTGAAAAAGTTTAAAATAGATTCACTAATTTCGTGGTCCGCTTGACCAATTAATATATTACAATTAATTAAGGTTTTTAGTTGAGATAAAAAAGTCAATGGCACGAGCGGGATTCGAACCCACGATCTTCGGCTAGATACGCCGCTACTCTACCACTTGAGCTATCGTGACCTCGATCCACTCGGACATTAACTTCCCATCTCAACCCTACCTTTTTGAAAAATGGCAAAAAGGAGGGAAAATTCAAAAGGTGTGGTTGAGCAGGGAAGTTGATGTCCGAGTGAATCGAGAACATCCCGCTCGTGCCATTGACTTTTTTATCTCAACTAAAAACCTTAATTATTTGTAATATATTAATTGGTCAAGCGGACCACGATACTAGTGAATTGTATGTAGAAAGTTTTGATTTTGATGTTTTGATTGTCGGTTAGGCAATAAAGCATTTTAAATCGTTTGTTGAGTGTCTGTTTTTTTAAATCGTGTCTGTAGATTCGAAATTAGTCTTCTATCAAATATAAGTCCTAAATAATTAACTTTGTCGGTTTGAGAAACAGGTTCGTTGTTTAAGTATTGTTAGGAGAACACTCACGGCGGGGTGTAAAAGTGATACGTTGTGACTTTGAGGGTTTAAACCTTGTTTTACATTTTTTCAATTGTTGATATGCGGTTTTGTAACATAAGTGAATCTTGTGTAGAAGAGGGTGACTTAAAATATTATATTAAAATATAATAAGTGTGCGGTTGTTTCGGCCGGTTTTTACTCGATTTAAGAATTCCTGTCTTTTTTAATGGCCTCCCAGGTTTTGAAACACGATGGTTGTTTACAGCCTGTCACTATGGCGTCCCATCACCCTACCACGTCGAATCATGCTGACGGCTGACAGCGAGGGGTGATTTATGGGAGGAGCCAAACAATGAATTCTAGCATTTGCTGCTATCTACCAAACTCGGACTCAACTTCGACTGACGGTAATGTAACACGGGTATTGAAGTTTTCGAAAAAATAAAATTGTAAAAATCCCAATAACTAATTTAAAAAAAATGATAATAGTCTATGTTGTAACTTTATTTTTGGCCAAATTTTGGATTTATTTTTTTTCTAGGGTTTTATCATAGTTCACATTGATATTACAATTTCGGTACATGGTGGTTCATTTTTCGACGCAACATAAGGAAAGCAATGCACCACCTGAAAGGGTCTGTTTAAATGGACTCACAAGTTATTTCTATCTAGATATTCCCATTGGTGTAGTGCATGCCCTTTCTAGGGAGGCTCACTTTGAAGAATGGGGCTGCTTCAGATTGCTCAATAATCTATATCAATATAATAATATTATTAATTTTTATGTAAGGTATTGGTTGAGATAAAAAAGTCAGTGTTATGAGCGGGATTCGAACCCACGACCTTCGGCTCAATACGCCGCTGCTCTATCACTTGAGCTATCGTGACTTCGATCCACTCGGACATCAACTTCCCATCTCAACCTACCTTTCCAAATTTCCTCCTTTTTGCCCTGTGACTTTTTTTATTTCAACCAAAAACTTACATAAAAATTAATTAATTGAAAGAAGTTATTTGGTCTATCGAACCATGAAAGTAAAATGAAGTATACTTCACTAAAAAAAAGCTCTCCGTGTCCGTTTTATTTGTCGTCGAGAATCAAATAGATTACCCGGCATTTGAAAAATGGCAAAAAGGAGGAAAATTCGAAAGGTAGGTTGAGATGGGAAATAGGTGTGCGAGTCGATCGATCGATCACTATAGCTGAAGTGGTAGAGCAGTGTTGTATTGGGCGGAAGGTCCTGGGTTCGAATCCCGCTCGTGACGCTTACTTTTTTATCTCAATCAATACCTTACATAAAGACCACGAAATATAATGGATACGATAATACAATATCAGTATAATACCATACTGTTAATTTATTTCAGTGTTGTGACTGGTAGAAAAAATACTACTGCAATGTTACAATATTATAAATCTATACAATTGACTGTCCTTTACTGTAGGTAAAATTAGACAAAAACCGTAAAATGTAATATTACTGTATTGAATAGTTTCACGTAAAAATACATTATAAGGTATTAGGTGATCGGTTCTATTATTCCAGATTTCATCTGCTGCATTTTAGTCTTGATCTCTCCCCAGAGTCGGTCCAAGGCTGCTTTCTCCGGGTTACCTTTCCTCGTCCTCCTTCCTCCAGACTTTTTCAGTCCGTACTGGAAGGCGGCTTTCGGCAAGGCTTCCCTCCTGGTCATATACTCCGAGTAATCTTCCTCGTGGTCGAAATCCCACCTGGTGAAATTGATAATTTAGTCGTTTCTGTTCATTTTGGTCTGCCTATTCTCAGAGACTGCTTACAATAAATGTTAAACTTACCGTCCGACCGCGCTCTTCCTCGCTCTATCCATCATGGAATAATCAGCCGCTTCGTCCGAGTCGTACGTCGCTTCTACAGACTCAACTTGTCCAGGGTAGCATTCTGCATAACTCGTAGGCTCGGAACTCAACCTCTGGAGCAGTCTTTCTTTAGTCTTGAGGGTTTTCTTGTAGAGTGAAGATGACTCGGCAGTAGGGCTTTTACTCGTCTTCTTAACCTCTTGTTTCTGAGGTTTTTCTTCCTGATATTCGTTGTAAGGGTCTTCATTGCTAATCTTCTTCGACCTTCTGATTTTTACCTGAAATACAAAATTTGTAAATTTAAGTAGCCCGTATTATATTAGCAGTCGTACCCCGTTTTTAACATGAGCCAGCACGGTCTTGAGCTTTTCGATGACTGCGTCAGTCGTCGTCAAGGACTTAATGTGAGATTCAGGATCGATGTCCCTGTTACTTCTAATAACAATGGTCGGGATCTCGTGTTCGGCTTCGTCCCCTTCTAGATGGACGACGTACGACATTTTTCCAGGAGCGAACAACGGATTCTTTTCTAGAGCTCGCCTCGAAAAGACGACATCCATCACCGCCTTGCCTATCTTCGTTACGGCTATTTGCTCTTTTGCCTCTGCCTCTTGTTCTTCTTTTTCTTCTTTCGCTCCTCTTTCTTTGTTCCTTACTTCGATTTCCTTTCTTACTTTGTTGAGCAGCGCATAATCAAGGCCTTTCACTATAAAAACAATTTTTATTGTTTTTATTGAATGATTTATTAATTAAAGAAAATACCAAGATGAGTATGGGCCATGTCGCCTCCTAAATATTTGGACTCCTGAATTAGCTGTTTTCTCCTTAGGGCCTGCCTCCTATTGTATCCTGCGTCCGGCGCGACTGCGTGATACGCCCCTGCTGATACCGTTTGCAGTTCTCTGTCTTCGCTTATAACATAATCAGGGTTTTGCCCGTCCCTCCTCTCCTGAGCCCTGTCCCTGTATTTCTTTTGAAGCTGAAAATAATTTAAGAAAAATTTAATTTGATCTCTCAGTTGTTTAGAAAAATTTTCTCTTTGGAACGAGCTAACAGATCTATTGTACATTGACCATACACGATTTGAGGACTTCAACGAAAGTACCCTCGATCTAGGCACTTTCCAAAGTGACAGTAAATCAACTACGGACTATGTACTAACCGTTAGTGCCATATCCTTATGGGACACGGCGGTTATTAGACCAGGGATAGCTTACGGATAATGATTATGGAACCGAGTACTGTTGAGAAACTACCATACTTATCCATTACAGGAGCAATGAGAAAGAACACCCCACTGCAGTCCTGGAGGTCTCCTGAATCTACAGCCACTACATATATTTATCCAAGGAGAAGCTAGAGCCCCACAGGGTAATGCAGAAACAGGCTAAGACAAGAATCTAAAGATGCAATCACCCTAACAAATATCCGCCAGAGCAGAGAGAGACAGAAACGGATACTAGTTAATACCTACTATATCTAGTATACAGATGACTATAAGACGTAGCATGGGTCAAATGCTGGTATGTACGGGAATATACCAAGGAGAAGAGTTCTTATAAGCCTTGGGTAATATGTCGGTCTTTTAAGTGGAGTACCAAAGATACCAAAAGGCTGGGCATTACCAACAAAAGAATAGCCATCTACTCGGACAGCCAGGCGGCACTAAAGGCCACTACTACTACTCATCGGTAGTGAAATTTAGAGCAGTTTGAGATTGCATGAAGGACATGGAAGAGCATTGGGGACAACAACAAAATTACTTTTGTTTGGATACCAGGTAATGGGCAGAAGGCAAATGTTCATCAAACGACCATCGCAGAAATAAAGGCAGAACTACTAAACCTAAAACATGTTTCAGCCAAAATGATAGCTGCCCTCTGATTGTACACCGCAAACTCCAGATGAAGTGTAGACTCGAAGCAACAGAAACAAGCCTTAGAGATATTGCCAGTAAAAGTAGGAAATAGTGGAACATGTCAGCTGGCCTAGGCATAATGACATTCTTTCTCCTGGGGGAGGAAAAACCTTGCCTGAAGATACACATTGTATTCTTAAAGCTTTTGGAACTGACAAAAAGCTCTAAGCATAACAAAAAGGTCTAGATAATAATGGAGGTTCATAATAGACCAACATTGGTCGTAGTCATTCGTTGCTTCCTCTAAAATTTCTTTTTTTCTTTCTCTTTCTCTTTCTCTTTCTCTTTCTCTCTCACTCTTTCTCTCTCTCTCTCTCTCTCTCTCTTTCTCTTTCTCTCTTTCACTATCTACCTATCTTTATATATATCTATATATCTGCTGAACTATATATATCCCTCCCTCCCTCTTTCTCATGTTCTAAATTATTCTCAAAAATTGTGTTTTATTTTTACAATTGTATATGTTTGAACATATGTTATCTGTGATTTTAAAGAATAAATGATCAAAACAGAGTTTTTTACATTTAGTTTGGCTTCATTTTCTTTGTCTTTTACCTGTGAGAGAACGTCTTCTCTCCGCATGGCCTCCGTATAGCGCCTTTTCTTCGCTTTTTTCTCCGTGACCTTCTGTTGCCTCTTTTCAGCAGGTTTCGCCGAAGGAAGTTCTGCGGGACCGGCCGCGTCCGTAAAGCCCGACGATGTCCTTGGGGTGTACAGCAACTGGCGGAAGTCGTCGTTGGACAACAGGCCCGGCCTCTTGTCAGCAGCACAGGTCGCCATCGGTAGAAAAAAATTAAACGTCCGTTTTTACCCAATCTGACGAGCCTTCCAGCAGCTCAAGACGTTATAAGAACAGGTGTTTGGACGGCGGTTTTCAAAGAACAATACAACTAGAAACCCTGGTTTACTCTTATTTTAATAAACGAACATATTAAGAACAGCTGAATATTTTAGTTTTTGTTTTGTACCAATCAGTTTTATCTATAAAATATATAAACAATTAAGCTATTTTAATGTGAGCCCATTTTTATCCTGTGAATAGAAACCAACAATCCATTACACATTGAACGATTATGTACTTTACGAAAGAAGAAAGACAAACATTGATAAACATTATACCGAATATTTTCATACTCCTCAAACAGCTCCGTTCTCAATTCCTGTAAATTCTCTGGCATCCCTGGGCGACTTTTTTCCTTTTTTGACAATCCGTTTGAGTTGGGACTACATGCTGGCCACTTCAAATATTGAATTGAAGCCTGTTCCAAGTAGTCACCGACTACCTAGCTGTTTGCATTGTCTTGCATTATCATGCATAAAAGAAAAACCACCTCCAATTAGTGGCATATAAGAAACAACTTCTTTTGATAACACATATCATGCAGCTGTTAAGGAACCCTCTATGAAGATCAGATTTGTGCGATATTCCATAAACATGCCTGCCCAAACCATAACACCACCACAGCTTTTCCAAACAGAAAATATTGCGAGAATATATTGCTCTCCTGTACTTCTCTCCCAGCCATCAGAAGACATCAAACAAAATCATGATCCATCAAGAAACAAGATTTTAGTCCAATCTTGATCAGACTAATTGATGGGATCTCTTGCAAAACTTAACCGAGGTGTTCTGTGCCTTGTCAGAAGTTCTGGGACCAGTTGCAGGCCTTCTCGCATATAATCCAGCTTCTGAAAGTCATCGGCTTACAGTGTGTAAACTTATATTAGTATTTCTAACTTGAAGTTGTTGTTTGATCTCAACATTGATAGAATGTTGATAACGGAATACATTCAAACAACATAATGATCATCTATTCTATATGACCATTGATGCGATGGCGGCCTGATCATCAAACATTTTTTTTTTAACCTCCAATCCTTTAAAATGTACTAAATATTGTTGCAAGATATTTGAGGGAGGATTGTCTAAAAGATAATTAAAAAGATTAAGGGTGGCCACTTTTTTTTCCTCTCACCATAGATTCCATTTTCTTCTTGATTCATTGAATAAATTAATAGAGCATATTATTTTATTGTCTAAAGAAGTTAGTAAATTAAATATAGGACTTAGCTTAGCAACTTGAGAAACCAGCTTAGGCTCACCCGAACCTCTCCTTCTTTCAATTACATCATTGACTTATTTATACTAGGAAAACCATTGCAAGTCGACGGCTCAATTTATACAAATATATATAAAATATTTAAATGTATCAATAATGACCAATTCTAAGGACAAAGCATGAAACCGGAGCTTTGGTTGCTACTGCACTCTACAGGTAAGTTATCGACCCTACCAACTAGTGGCAACTTGATAAAGCTTTAAAAAAATTACTGATAGTCATTTCTTATGAATTATTATCAAATATATTTATATATTTAATTATTAAATGTAAAAATTATTGAAATATAAATAAATTAAATAAATTCTTTGTGTTTTTATATTTACATTTCACAAGGTGAAATGTGATTTCGATCAGACAAGCATACCATTTTCACTTGGGCAAAACAAATATATGCACAAATAGTTTTAAAATAAATAATGTACAAAGGAAATAAGGCAACTAATAATATGAATTAAAGTAAACAAAATTTAAATTTTATGTACTATTGAACCACTATTGTGAAATGTACAGAATATTGCATAACATTGAATATTTTTACTGTTCAAATCATTCTTAAAAATTCAGATTTAAGTGCTTGCAATTAGTCATATTAATATAATACATATTAATAAATAAATTGGTTGTGAGATGATCCATAAATATATTTGGCAGGGAAAAATTGTCAGACACACTGAAGATGGCAAAATGCTGGATGCAATGTTTCTACAAACCAGCAAAGTAGGCAGAATAGGATGATCAAAAAATATCAAACTACATATACTGTAAAAGTTGCTGTTAATTCATCAGGCGTTGTAGACCATATATCCTTCTTTCTTAAGCACAAATAATATGGGAGCTTTTCTTGATGTACCACAAACGTTTGATCCATGTGTACACTGTAAAAATTATAATGAGTCCTGAGCTCATATCTAAAAGAGCAGTTCTTTCATGTCTGATAAGGATCAGATTACTTTGAATATTGCACTCTGGGGTACCACAGAACAGTGTGGTCGGTTCAACCTTTATACTGCAGATATTCCCATTAGACCAACCTCCTCGCATCTTTTGCCAATGACAGAGCTGTCTGACCAAATCCTGCAGTTGCTTTGGAAGATATGCAGAGCCACATCGCATTGGCCTCACATTCTATGCCCCTTTGTAACCACCTGCAACAACAGTTCATCACCAGCAATTCAGAAGAATATGGTGCAGCAAGTGCTTAAAAGAGAACACCAATCGGTATGTTGTTACATTTACTGATGATTCACGTTTCTGTCTAATTGTGATAGCAGGTGCCGAAGAGTCCACCAAGAACAGAGGATTCGTACAATGCCCCAGTTCATGTTCACTTCAGCGCAGTTTACTGGGTTTTACACTGGACGATGAACTGGACTCCATATTGTTGTAAGCAACCTCACTGCAGTCCGTTAAGTCCAAGAAATTATCAAGGAATACATCCCTCAAACCAGGGATCTCATTGGCAGAGATTTTTGATTTCTGGATGACAGTGCAGAGTTGTTCATCTATGTTTAGAAAATCTGGGAATCTCACATCTGCCCCTTCTCCCATTGTCTCCAGACCTCAATCCCATTGAGCACATATGGGATGCATCGCAGAGAAAGGATTTTTGATCACCATCCGCAGCCAGTTGACCTGCAACAACTGAGAGCAGTGTTCCAACATCTATGGAGTGAAATTCCTTATGAATTTAGTGACAAGCTTATTACCAGTATACCTAACAGGTGCACAGAGGTTTTAGCTAACTGAGGACATTATACACGGTATCAATTCTTTAAATTAAAAAAAAAAGTGTCCAATACAAACAAAATTATGAAATTAAAAACTTTTATTATGTTAGTTTTCAAAATACCTTAATTAAAATTTTCCTTCATTAAAATACATAATAATTTCTAATAAGTTTTAATTAAATTTATAATAAAGATAAAACGAAAGTAAATATTGCAAAATTGGCAATATCCCTATTCATTTTTTGCAGTTTAGTTCACATTGAAGTCAGTTTTCCCAAAATCAAGCAAGAATTTAAGATTAATTAAGGTTTTTAGTTGAGATAAAAAAGTCAATGGCACGAGCGGGATTCGAACCCACTACCTTCGGCTAGATACGCCGCTGCTCTACCACTTGAGCTATCGTGACCTCGATCCACTCGGACACCAACTTCCTATCTCAACCCCACCTTTTGAGTTTTCCCTCCTTTTTGCCTTAATTAATCGTAATATAATTAATTGGTCAAGCGGACCACGAAATTAGTGAATTCAAGAATTTAAGCCTATTCCATTTTCAGGAAATTGGTTTTTTTATTAAACGGTTTTACATATTTTAAGATAATCGGAAATAATTGGTTTAATTTATCATTTAAAAAATTCCTACAAAATGTTAATTAATAATGTAAGAAGGAAAATAATGACGAATTTTTGTACGTTGCTGTTTGAAATGTAGTCAATAATCATACAGCGAATTTGTACTGTGCATTTTTAATTCGTAGCGTTTTTCTCCAGTTTATAATAAAGTGATTCAGCGGGTGAATTTCGGCCGGAAGGTCTTCGAATATCGGACGTGTTTCTTCCTACTGGCTCCCGTATTACCTTTACAAATCCTTGGGGACGATCCATCAATCTCGGTGAATAGCGCCGACAGGGCATCACTATGTCGTCCCAGAACAACCCTTCGACTTTGGGGACAATACGCGGCAATTAGGACGGCAAAACGGCCGCAATAACAACTTTTGGTGATATAAACGATGTGTCCTAGAAAGAATTTTTATATACTTGAAATTCGAGCTGTTTTGATAAGTCATCAAAATACAGTGACAGGCAAAAAATTCCACCTTATTGATTTTTTTATTCATTTTCTCCATAAACGAAAATTCTGCCCTTCATTTTTATCAATAAATATTTGTTTAATATATTTTTTAATTGGGTATATCAATTAAACGTAAAAACACTTATTCCTTAATCCAAAATAAGGAGAAAGTTATTTATAAATCGTGAGATGCGGTCTGGTGTGATGTTGCGTTCAGAAAAACATTTTCTTTATCGTGCCAAAGTTTCGATCTTTATTGAGATCATCTTCAGGGCCTGGGATTTACAAACATTGTTTACATATTACAATTACATTTTGGATGTGGAAATGTGAATTTATACAATGCAAAATATATTTTATATATTCAATCAAAGTATTTCTACTCACTCGAAGTGTTTGTCTTCTGTGTAATTGTGTCATTCTTGCGTGTCGTGTCGAGAGTGCCAGTGAGATTTTGCTATTTTGACACGCAAGAATGACACAATTACACAGAAGACAAACACTTTGAGCCCTGAAGATGATCTCAATAAAAATCGAAACGTTGGCACGATAAAGAAAATGTTTTTCTGATACCTACATTACACCAGACCGCATCTCACGATTTCTAAATAAATATCGAATAACGGTCACTAATCACCACACATAAGGAGAAAGGATTTTTCCATGTTTAAGTTACACGGAATTAAAAATGTTTATTGAAACTCATTTGAATTCTCGAACAATAAACTGTTTAGTTTTCATATTTAATTTCTTAATTTCAATTTTGAAACTTAAAAACGCCACTTAGTTAGTGCTGAGGAGGTTGCGCGTGGAGTGACTGTTATTGATGATGGACGTTCCATAAGGTATGCGGCTATTGCCATAGGAGTTCACTACGAAACTCTGTGAGATGCAGTTAGAGGTTTTCGAGGAACTGGGTCCTACCATGGAAGGCCCGGTTCTGGACGCCCTAGGGTAACAGAACCAATGGATGACCGTTTTCTGAATTTGAGAATTTTGTGAAACCAGCACCTTACTGTTGTTCAAGGGA